ACGTGCACTCCAGTTTTGGCACTGGGTTCTGAAAAGGTCCGCCATTGCTGGTATAGGTTTTCCTATACTACTGAGCAGAGAGTTGGACTAGAAGACTTCCAAGGTCCCTTCCAATTCTGTTATTCTGTTATAATTCTTATGTTTCTCCTGTGGCCCATTGATTCTAAACTCTCAGGAGCAGTAGAGGAACCTTCAATATGAAGGACGAACCAAATACTATAATTCTTATACACTTAAAAGTAAAAGATTCGTCATAATATTTTGGCCTTATCCAGCTAAACCGCCTTACATAGTTTTTTTCTAATTAATCGTGTTTTCCCCCTTGCTTTTAAAATGTGTCCTTGACAGATAACCAAAGATATCAGCCAATTATTTCAACCATGTTATTGTGGCAATTTTTGTAGTTGTTGCTTTGGGACCACAAAAGCTCTGTATGCGCAGAAACATCGCGTGTGCGCACGAGCAAACCAGTAGTAAAAAAAAGTGGAAACCCACCACTGAATCACAAATAAAGACATTACTGTTTTCTTTCAATCCCTTTCTTATGAAAATCCCTTCTGAGATAGTCTTTGCTGGCCACTTACTTCAAGGTGAGCTTGATGTTGCAGGTGGAACAGGAGAAGCAGTTTACACACCAAGCTTTGTTGAGAGCAGATACCACTAGTGAGAAATAGTAAAGAATAGGATGTTATCACACTGTAGCGTTGTTCCAAATTCAGTAGAAGGATTTGAAAAGAATCATTGAAAATTGTGCATGCAGAGCTGCAATGGGTGTATTGAGAGTCTCCAGCTTACCATCCCCCTCGATCACATGGCTGCAGTTGTAGCAGACGTCTCCAAAGAGCTGCATAAAAAAAAGAACAAAAGCAATAATTTTCATTGAAAGGAAGGAATGTTTGAGCCCTTACAGTTTATTCATTGGTGCCCCTAGAAGCGTGATCTCGGTTATTGCTCTGAATTTCACTCCCTTCACAGCTTTCCTTTCAGAACAGAACAGAATCTAGTTTTAATTCCTAAAAACGGCGTATCTTACCCAGTTTTAAAGTACAGAATCAGAGCAAAATCCTTGCTTTGTTGAACTGTATTTTTTGAACTTGAAAGGTGTTGCTCTGATTTTATCTATCCTTAACAGATAAGATGAGCACCTGATGAAGGAAGGAGACTTTATTTATACGCTTGAAGTGTTTTCCTTCATATCTTTCAGATTATTTTTGTCCGGTTTATACCCAAACATTAATCAGGATTGTACTTGTTGCTTTGGAAGAACTCATCTAACTTGTCATATGGTTTATCTCTTTTAGAGGACCTTTGAGAGGGTCTTAGATTAACCTAAGCAATTAGTGATAAGTGTTTGATAATAATTGGAAAATATTACATCAGTGTTACAGGATATATTTTTAATTTAGGTGAATATTTAAAATAACTTTGGGATGACCCTCTCAAACACTAAATACTTCTAACGTTTATTTGCCCCACTAAAATCAATTGCGGAGGAAAGAAAGGACAGCAGATCTGATGTGCAGTAAAAGACTGTTATGGATGGAGAAGTAACAACGCAAGATTTCCCTCAACCCCAATCCCTGATATGAAATGCAGTTCTGAAGAATTTGTGCAATGTGAAATGAGAGGAAAGAGAACTTGATGCACCCTTTTAAAAAAGACAGCAAACCACTTTGAGATTCTGGTCTCCCAGTGCAGGGATGCCCCATAGAGCAATGAGAGATTTTGAGAGAATTTCCCCAAACTACAGATTCTCTTGTAGCCAAGCAGTGCTACTGTTCAGTTTCCTTTGAAAAAGTTGTGGAAGCATGTATTGTTTTTAAAGCATCTTTTTGTTTCTTTATAAGGAAGCACAGCACAGTGAAAAATAATATATTTCTTTCAGCAGCCTAGCTTGCAACAAACAATAAATTATGCCTTATTTTCCACTGCAAGACACAATGTTTTCTTGCAGTAAATTCCACCTAGGAAACTCTTGGCACTGACTTCTCTTTTTCCTGCCCTTCATTCCGCTCCATATTAATGAATGGCTATTTATGGTTAGCCAACCTAGAGGCAATTGGATTTGCATTTCCGTCCCAAGTGCAAAATATTCCTAGACATTAAAATACTTATTAGCATTAGTATGTCTATTATACCTTTAAATTTTATCTTTTTTAAAATTCTCCCATTCAAAATTTGTATCTTACAGGAAAACATTATGTCTTTCCCCCTGCCCCACCCCGCGTCAAAAAAAGAAAAGAAAAGAAAAAGAAGAAAGAGAAAGTATCTTATAAAAGGCAGTAGATTTTACCTGATTGTAATGAGTCTCACAGTAAGCCAGACCCTTTTTCTCATAATGCCGGTGTCCCAGGAATGGCTTCTCACATTTGGCACAAACAAAGTGCTACAAAGTGAAAAGGACATGTTATGTCAAAGGGTCTTTGTCAAAGGAGTTGTTATGTCAAGCATAACAAACGATGTGTCCAAGGAGTATTGTATTTGGGGGGGGAACAAAACCAGAGATATCAAGTGCATGTTATTCAGTGTTTTGTATGTAGTCCCCTCCTTCAAGGGGATGGTCAAATAATGCTGAACTAGAAACAATGGTCTTAAGAAAGTACCACCTCTGAAGAGATTTCATTTTTATGCTGCTGCATATTGACTTCTAAATTATACCAAATAGCCAAGAAGAAATGGGAATTAGATATTCCAGAATCAAACTCTGCAATACAATATGTTGTCTTTCACTCCAGAATCTTATGTTATCTTCATTTAATACAATACAATACAATAGCAGAGTTGGAAGGGACCTTGGAGGTCTTCTAGTCCAACCCCTTGCCTAGGCAGGAAACCCTATATCATTTCAGACAAATGGCTATCCAACATCTTCTTAAAGATTTCACAGGATTAGAGGCGGAATGTCAAATTTCATATGAAACAAACATTATCAATGACACTCATATTTGTGCTGGACTTGAATTCCAGTGTTTCTAAACATGTTCAGAATTGAACCTTTTGAGTCATTGTTACCACAGCATTCCTAGGTAAATATCTGTTATAAGCTGAGAATACTGTCTTTTCTTTAGACATTTGTTTGTTTGTTTTTTATTTAGTAATATTTCTACACTAGATTCTCACAACCACTACCAAGATGAAATACTTTGGTGTCAAACATATCAAAACAAAATATTCATAAAATTATCTTAAAATATTAAAAACTTGGATATATTCATCAAATATGTACTGTACCATAAAATCTGAAATATATCATTTAAAACAGTATATGAAAATCAGTGCAACCAGTAAATTAGGATCTAGAACCACATCTTCTAATGTAGTATCAATAACTAAATCATATTGTTCCTATGTTCCAGCATTTCCATGGATTCTAGTTGCCTTTCAATCACATTTTAATCTGATACACTATAAAGCTATGAAATATCTTGATATAATTTACAAAGATGAGTTATTTTTTCCCCTGATTGTCCTATTGAGATTAACATTTGTACTTGTTTGTACTTGCTGTACAGTACATGTATCTCAAAAGATAAAGAGAGATTCACTCACAGCCATCCCGTCTTAAAATGTTGAAAACTATTCAGTTTCTATTGTAAGATTTTAGTAAGAGGATTTTTAAAAATAATAATAATAATTGTGGTCTTTCAGATGTTTCTGAATTCCTCCTTCTCCTATCCTTAATTTGGATCATGCTGGGAACAATTCTCAGAAATTGGGAAATGTAGTTCAATACCACGTGGAGGGACACAATTTTCCTAACTTAATACATTACTTGTAAAACAGTTTAATCCATTATAGTTTTATGCATTATTATTATTTATATATTTGGGACAAGACAGGCTACAAATTTAGGTAAATGCAAAATAAAGATTGATTTCGTTATGTATGAGGAACAGTGGCAATATCTGTTTATTAAATCAGAAAAACACATTGTATCAAAAATGAAAGGGCAAGCAGCAGATCGGGGAAGCTCTCACCTCAACGTGCCATTGTTTTCCTAGAGCGTTGACCACTCGACCCTCAATAGGCCGCCGACAAGCCCCACAGATTGGAATGCCCATCTTATCATGGCACGGCAGGCAGTAGAGCTCTCCTTTCAGTTCCCTGGCATCAGCGGTCAATTCCTTCCTATACACAACATTACTAATTAAAACTTTGGGACCAATATTTGTCAGAGATAGTAATTATGTAATAGTCACTACATAATCTAAAAGAGGCACTTACCTGACTTCTTGCCAAACATGAAAAGAGGAAAAGTTCTTAAATATAAATATATCCCTTAGACTTCCTTTGCCTCATTATTCATTCTTACACATACTTTGTAAGAACCCCTTTTAATAGTAGATTTTGATTTGTTACTTGTATTTTAGAAATCAGAAATAATCAGAAATACTAAACTTTTTGTCCATTAAACCTCAGAAAGGTTTTCTATTGTAAATGTTTATCTAATTAATTTTGTCGTATGGACACTTCCTATCTAGCTTCTTAATGGGTGATTCATGTTCAAAGGAGATTCAATTCAATAATTTACTATGTAAAAGGAGAATTACAACTACTTAGCACATGGCCAACATACCCACAGTGGGTGCAGTTGAAATGGTCTGGATGGTAGGAGTCATTCCTGAACATAAGAGCTTGTTCATCAATTATCAAGTGACATTTCTGGCAAATATATTTGCCCAAGTCTTTGGCTTTCTCACGATTGTGGCAAGGCCGACAGAGGTGTCTAAAGTGCAGTTGGAAAGAGAAATGTTGAGAGACATCATTCAAATAGCATAATTACTTGTTAGACTTCAGAGCTTCTGACTCTTAATGAGAACATTAATTCATAAACCATGCTTGTGATTGCATGAATTACACTACACTGAACTGGTTTAGGTAAATGACAGTATTATTTTTTCAGCAAATGGAATTTTTGTGCATCTACTTATCGTTTTAAAAGTCAGGAAATATACAAGTACACACAAATGCATTTATATTTAATTTTGCAGTTTTCCCTATAGAGAACATGTTCCATTTTGTTCATTTACGGGACTGAATGCACAGATAACTTGAAATGCTGCTGATAAATACAACTGTGCAAACCCCAATTAGAGCCAAGCAACTCAAATTAATGCCATACAGTCTCCCAGGCTTCCTGAAAGATCTGAACAAGGTCACTTGGCCTCTAGAGTCTTGGTCCTTATCAATAGAAATAAGCTAATAATAAATCTCAGTTCCATGAGACCACTGTGGATCTTGTGTTTCTTACAAGTCCCCAATAGAAAGCCCAGTCCGCATAAGTGGAAAGGAATGTCATTAGCACACTTGCTTCACAAGTCTTCTCTGCTCTTCCTCCCCAAAGTTGAAGATACTAAGACAAGAGCTACAGTTCACAGAAAGAAAGCAGACAGCGTCCCTTTATAAATGGGAGCATGCAGCTGTGTTGCTCTCAGGATAAAGGCATCAATTTTATTCCTCTCTGTGGAATGAAGTCTAATTATACAGGGCAAGACATAGAGACCCTACTGCAAGTGTCCTAAGAAGAATGCCCTCCCATTTTACTGAATAAGGGGCCTTCAGCCCTTTCCACTGATAAAGCATTAGCAGTGCAGCTCACTTGGAAGCCCCTGTCTACTATCCTATAGATCCTTGTCCAGTGCAAAGCAAAGGGAGGTCTTAGAATCACAAAGCCGTTACTATGGTAGCCGTCCTTCTCACTCGCATTCCCACCATTATGGAATTATCCCTTTCTGAAATGTCCCGTTGTGTCTGTAGCACTAGATTTCCCCTCCCCTTCTGCAATACTCTCCAAGACCTCTAAAGGCACCGTGTAAAAGGCAGAGGTCCAAACAGAGGCTTTAATGAGCAGGGGAAACATTGGAATATTCATAAATACAATAATAATTAGCAACTCCCTCCTCCAACAGCTTAGCTGGAATTAAGAGTGTCTTTCACAACAGGCATGTTATCTCCCCTCCTCTTCTGTGAGCAAGATGATAAAGGACTACCACACCTAGCAGAACTCTATATAGTGCAGCTCCCTTTTCACTGAACTTCCTACAGTCAACCCGATGGAATTTTTTACAGCTGTGTTCTTTTTCCTAAATTTGCTGGTGTTATAAAGAGCTCAAAGCTTTTCATCACAACTCGATCGGACTGCAAGCAAACTGCAAGAGGTAAGAGCTTTGGCATCAGAGTGGGCAACATTTATTAACCTAGAAAATACAGCATCTCCTAACTTGTATTGGTGTTTCCAAATGAACGGTTTCTGTTATTACTATTCAAAAGGTGCTATCTATAATGATAAGAACAGTTGAGTGTTCTAGTTAATATTACTAGATGTATCTATAATAGAAGATTGCTAATTAAATATTACATTTATAAATGAATTACCCATCGAGATACAACAAATTGATACCAGTTTATTCTTTAATTTTCATAATAGTCATAAGAGTATAACTTTGGATGAATGAAGAATGAAAAGCATTGCTGTTCTAAGAAAATAAAAGTAGCTGTGATTTCTAATGTATTTTTAAAACAATTAGCTATGATTCCCTTAATAAACCAGAGAATAGAATACAAACAAAAGATAATTTGCTGCATGCCTAGAACTTAGGAATGTTTGTTCAAACTTATGTTATGATCAAGACATAAAGTAATCCTACTTTTTTGCTGTAGAGGAAATTCTTTATTTTATCTGTTTTGAAATATCTGGAACACTCTGTGGTCTAGTTGCAAAATTAACACTTGCAATTAGTATAAAGTGTTTTAAGTTCCAAGCAATACTAGAGTTAGATTCAAATATTGCTGAGTTTTCCATTTATATGATTTCTATGCTTTTCATTATGTCTAAAGACTTGAATGAGTTTAACCATAAGAACCAAATCTTTTCCAGTGTTTATATCACTTTTATTTACAAAGATTTGTCTACAAAGCACTTTGAATCAAGCAAATGGTGAATGCAATGCACAGTATATACCACATTTGTGGAACTTCAAATGAAGGTACTTATATACATATACGCACACAAACATACCTACATACATTCATACATAAAAACATAACATAATATAATATTGCATATTATGTATAGGAATAATTAGGCTTGTGTACTTATGACAATTAATTGAAATATGGCTAACCAAAAAAAATAAAATAGAACATCCTCTCCCAGAATTGTACCTAATTTTCATGCATAGTTTACAAAAAGAATGGCCAGGATTCATGTGCCCATATACAATGTGTTTCTTTATGCACCTAGTTCTAGAGGATCTCCCGATTATCTGGAGGTGGCTTTTTCAAAAATCTGGGGAGGGGGTTATCAGACAAAACCTAATCAACATCCAATAGCAAGTTTTGCTAGTTCATATAATAAATAATAAAACACAGATTTCTTGGTATTTGTAATATTTTCATCCAAGTTTATTTATTTGGCATTTCAGGCTCATACTGAAGACCAATTGTGAGGAATGAACAGCCAAGCAGACTCTTCAGGCCTGTTACTCAACATTTCCCTGTTAAATTCAGAGCAATGTGGCAAAGAGAGTCACACGGAAAACATCCTTTTTGCTATTTTCTACCTTCTCGATTTCATCCTAGCCTTTTTGGGCAATGTTTTGGCACTCTGGCTCTTCATTCGGGACCAAAAATCAGATACCCCTGCCAACGTTTTCCTGATGCATCTTGCTGTAGCCGATTTGTCTTTTGTGCTCATCTTACCAACTCGGTTGGTCTACCACTTTTCAGGCAATCACTGGCCATTTGGAGAGCTCCCTTGCCGACTCACAGGGTTTCTTTTCTACCTCAACATGTATGCGAGCATCTACTTCCTCATGTGCATCAGCATAGATCGCTTCTTAGCTATCGTGCATCCTGTGAAGTCCCTCAAACTCCGCAGGTCACTCTATGCTCATTTGACCTGTGCCTTCCTGTGGGTTATAGTTGCCGTGGCCATGGCACCTCTTTTGATCAGTGTGCAGACGGTTGAGATGAATAATACCACCGTCTGCCTCCAACTCTACAGAGAGAAAGCATCACGCCACGCTCTTGTCTCCCTGGCTGTTGCATTCACTTTCCCATTTTTTACTACAGTAACCTGCTATTTACTGATCATACGAAGCCTGAAGAAGGGGCACCGCATTGAAAATCATCTAAAGGAAAAAGCCATCAAAATGATAATCATGGTTCTTACAATCTTCTTGGTCTGCTTTGTGCCCTATCATGTCAACCGCTACATTTATATCCTTAATTATGATGGTGTGAAGACTTCTTGTGCAATGCAGAGGATCCTGGCACTTGGCAATCGCATTACTTCATGCCTCACAAGCTTAAATGGCGCCCTAGATCCTGTCATGTATTTTTTTGTCGCTGAAAAGTTTCAAGAGGCCTTGTGTGGTTTGTTTTGCCCCAAAAAAGTTGCAAGATTACCTTCAAGTTATGATGGGAAAACAAATGATAGCTCTTTAAGTGCTAAATCTGAACTGTAAATACCTGAAAACAAAATACTTCCTTAACAAAAGTTTGCTGTCCAGTATGATCTCCTAGAAAGAAGTGCTTTTCTACAAAAACACAAGATCTAATACTTAATTGTTAAGGAAACAAAACATATACAACAATCCTAACTGGGAAGGAGTAGTGAGGTGGCAAATGCTACCATTTCAAAAGCCCTGCTATTCCTTGTTGGCCAGGATGAATAGTATCTCCCTTTTTTTTTGCCTTTTCCCTAGGCATTTTTAATTATTTGGATGGGCGAGTGGGGGGAATTACAGAGATAATAGTTTCAAAGACTAGCAGGACACATTATTCTTTTGATTTTCTGGAATACTCTTTTGAATGTTACTATCAGTGGAAATATTGCCAATAATATTTTTCATAAGCATTCTTTGGATCTACAGACAATTAAGAGACAACTTTACCTTATCATAACCATTTCAAGAATCAGATCAGATTGTGTGAAATTATGAATCTTGTGATAATTTTTGCATAGCAAATAGCACCAAGTAATAATTCCATTAGGATATAAATTGAAATTTGAGTGAACAAAAGTTTGGTAACTTCTCCAGAAAATAAATGTTCATAAATGATGAAAGAATTGACGGTTTAAAATATTAAAACAGTGGATAGAAAAGTTTTAGTAATATCCAGGAGCTGTCCAATCCTATTTTCTGCAGTCTGCAATATAACAAGGCAGGCAAGAATTCAGCCACAAAGTTGTTCAACATTTACATCTACAATGCAAACTTTTGAGAGGTTTATGAATATGGTGTTTAGTTTTAAACAAGCTTTATAATTCTCCCACCATAGTTGTAGAAGTATACAAAAGCTGCTGATGCTTTTTTTACACCTCAAGATGAATAAACTGCAAACATCACATTTGAACAACATGTTCCTTTTAATTACAGCTTTGGCTGTAGATACTCTTTTCAATAGCAGTGAATACACAAACCACAATTTATGTTATATGCAGATTTTTAAAATATGACTGAATATGGTTAATGAATTCTTAGAGAACTTGCTACAAATCATTAACTTAATTCACTTTAATAATGTAAGATGTAAGTCCAGCTGGGCACTTAGCCCTACTTAATGTAGACTGAGTCTACCATAGAGTCTTAGAACAATGATGATCTAAAGCTGGAGCAACTGAGCAACCTGCTTTACTTTGCCAATGTAACTTTGCTGCAGTTCTATCACAACAAGTTTGTACTATCATGTTTATTATCTTTCTACATGAGCCGCAGTGGT